AAGGAGAACTCAGTTCATTATCACGATTATGGAAAGGAAGTCTGTCGGACTCGAGGAGTATGGTGATTACGAAAGACCGAAGAAGAAGAAAAGAGAGCAAGAGAGAGAAAGAGAGGTGGATAAGGATGTTGAGATGGAAACTGAAGACAAAGGACATCCAAAACAGAAAGAGAAAACGATGGAAGAATTGGAAGAGGAGAACAAGAAAGCTATGGAAGATTTATTTCCCTCAGAAGCACCGAGCGAGGCAGAGATGAAGAAGATTGCAGATCAATTGCCTAAGCTGAGAGAACAAGAGGAAGAAGCAATGTTCGTTGCAGGAGTTGAACTTACTCCTGAAAGCATCCTCAAGAAGTTGAGAGCAGCATGTGAATTCTTGAAGATTGGAGAAACAGGAAGCAAAGCTCAAGTCTGGAAGAGACTCAAGGAAAGCATAGCAGCAAGCAAGATGAACGGTTGAAATTTCCAAAGGTCTAGAAGTGGAGTTTGAGAGAAAACCGAAAGGAGAGAAAAGACCTGAATCACCGAGCGAAGAAGAGAGAAAGAAACATGAGCTTACGCACCTACCCAAGGCAGATTGGTGTGAAAGTTGTCAAGCAACAAGATCGAGAGAAGATAACTTCGAAGTGTCTGAGAAAACAAATGAAGCATCATTGGTCACGATGGATTTCAAGTTCACTGGAACGAGAGACGAGGAAACACCGAAAGACGGGAAGGATGCATTGACAATCGGTTTGGTTATGGTTGACTAAGCGACGATGTTTGTTCATGTGATACCGGTTGCAAGCAAAGAAGCGACAGCGTACGTGGTTGAAGAAGTTTGTAGAGTTGATGCTGTTGAATTCAAAAGTGATCCTAAGGACAGACAGTGAACCAACAGTGATTTCCTTAAGGAGAAAGGTGCAAGGAATAAGAAAGCTGAGAAACTTGGAGACGGAGACACAAGATGTAGCACCCGATGAACACCAAGCATTACAAGTGGAACGGTGAGGAACTTATCAAAGACTCTGGTGTGTGGTGTTGAAACTGAAGCAAAGGTGAAAATCACATCTGAGAGCACGCTTTACCCATGGGCAGCAAGACATGCAGCATTCTTGTTGAACAGGTTTGTTGTGAGAAAAGGAAAAACACCGTTCGAAGTGTTGTTTGATCGAGAGCACAAAGGTATACTAGTTGCTAGCACCCTGGAAGTGTTGTTTTGGCAAAACCGTTGCCAAAGGTGAAAGCGAAAGGAGAAGCATGGAGGAAAGGAATCTTTGTTGGGAAAGATGCTGTAAGCAACATGATTTTGGTGAGCGCACGGAAAGGAATTATCAAGTGCAGAGCAATGCGTCAGTGTACGCCAACGTTCGACGTTGAGATACTTGCCGAGGCAACAGCAACGCCTTGGAACTACGCACAAGATGTGTTAGTTGGCCAGAAGCCAATGAAAAAATCGAAGGAGGAGCACCAAGGTCGGTACCAAGAAGAGATCAAGGAGAAGGAAGTGGATACAGTCCAAGTGATCCTGGAAATGGACCAGGACCGGATGAAGCAGCGAGTGATGCACCAAGTGATGATGAGCAAGATGAGAATGAGGATCCAGGTGCAGGTCAAATGGGTCAAACAAGCGCGAGCAGTGATAGCAGCAGACGTGGAGGTGGAAAAAGAAGTGCGCCGACGAGCGAAGAGTCGGAGGAGTTGATTCCCGGAGAAGAACCACCCACTTCACCCAAGAGGAACCTTGAGGGTCAAGTTGAAGAATCAGAAGCTGTACGACAGAGAGTGGATGAAGGAACAACAGAGATTCAAGAGAGACCAGAGAAACTGCAGAAAGGTGAAGCATCAAGCAGTGTGAGAAGAATTATGGCTTCAAGGAGTGCTAAAGAGATTGAGTCATTCCTGAGAAAGGAAGAACCACAGTATCATGATGATGAAGAAGTAGAGCTGGATGAGTTTGAAGGATTAGAGGCAGAGTTTGATGAAGAGATTTTTACGAATCCGATGGAGAAGATGAACTGCCAGAAGGAATGCCAACATGGTCAAATGATTTCGACAGCGGACCACCAAAGTTGAGTGATGAAGAACTGGTGAAAGTCGATGGTGTGTCTAGAGAACATGAGATGGATGAAGGCTTTGAAGAAACTGCCAAAGGATGCAGACATGACGAAGTACAAATTTCTGTCTACGAAGGTAGTGTACGATTGGAGACACAGAGACAAAGCGTGGCGAAGAAGAGGAAGACTAGTAGCCCGAGAGTTTCGATGGCTAGGTGACACGGATATTGCAAGTTTATTTTCGCCAACTGGTGTAGCAAGCACGGTGAAGCTACTTTCAGCCCTGTTTACGTCATCTGAAGGATACACGTTGGGAAGTATTGATGTTGGTGACGCCTATCTTATGGTAGAGCAAGAGGAGCCAACGGTCGTTGAAGTAGATGGCGAATTTTATGAACTAGGGGGTTCACGCTACCTGGACAGCGAATCGGCAGTAGTGCCTGGTTTAACAAATTGAAGAGTTATCTACAGGAGTACGGGTTACAAAGCGACCCAGGATTACCAGCACTATTAGCAAGGATGCCGAAAAAGAACGGTCACGGGATTATTGTGTTGACTCATGTTGATAACATGGAGTTGTATGCGTCAAGAGAAGAGTTCAAGAAATTGCTGGAATTCCTCAGAAGCAAAGGATTGAAGATCAAGGTTGAAGGACCTATGGATGAGGAAGAAGGATCTATGAGTTTTCTGAAGAGAAGTTTCAAGTCAAGCAACAACGGTGATGTTGAGATCATGATGAACACGAAATATGTTGAAGGATTACTAGAAGTGTTGGAACTTCAGAATGCTTAACCAAAGAAACTACCGTGTTCAGCTGACAACGGAAGATTTTTTCGATCCGCTGAGCGCGGAAAATCATCACATCTTCAGGAAACTCGTTGGGATACTACTGTTTCTGGCACCAGAGAGGCCAGACATCATGTACCTTCTCAAGAAGTTATCGACGAAATTAGCAGCGCCGGTGCAAGCTGACATGGAGATGTTGAGGTATACAGCAGAGTTTTTCAGAGATTCTGAGAAAAGGAACGCAGGAACAGAAGAAGGTGTGAGAGGTGTTTATAAAGAGCAAAGCCTGATTGAAGTGATTACGGATTCTGACTGGGCAGCAGATCGAGAGACAAGGCAAAGCGTTTCATGTGGAGCGATCATGCTGAACGGAAATTTGATTCATTTCCAAAGCAAGAGACAGAAGAGCATTGCGCTAAGTTCGTGTGAAGCTGAGACAATTGCAGCAACTTCGATATTGTCTGAAGCAGTGTTCTTGAAAGGATTGCTGGAAAGGATCTTAGGAGTTGAGCCTAAACTGGTGTTGTTTTCAGATTCGTCTCTCAAGGCAGCTTATTTCGAGAAAAGGTTTAGGCAAGGCGCGTCATTTAGACGTAGACCTCCTCTGGATACAACACATTCCGAAGGTTATCATAAAGGCGATAGCGGGTAAAAGCAACCCCTCGGACCTAGGGTCCAAATCCCTATCACTCGACAAAATAAAGAGCTACATGGTCATACTGGGCTATGTAGGTGAACTTCTCGATGACGAAGTGCAAGAAGTGCAGGATGATCAGGTGAGAAGAGCAAGCGCAAAGAGAGGGTAGATGATGAAGTTCGATGAGAAGATGATTACAAGGATTTTTCAAGCAGTTACGACTGGAGTGTTGATGAGCTTATGCGAGGCCAAGGAAGAACAAGTTGAAGAAGAAAGTGCACAAGGACTGAAGCTGAGTGTCATGTGTTGCATGAGCATGGTTGCTATGATTGTTATGTGCATTTCCGCGGCCATTTACAGATCAAGCTCTAGGAAAGAGCTGAAGAAAGGAAGAAAGAAGGAAGAAGGTAAAAAGACAAGAAAAAAGAGAAAAAGAAATGGCGGACGACGAAGCTGTTAAGGTAATGATCCGCGATGAATGCAGAAGCATCCAAGCTGTAAGTTTCTGCGAAAAGCAGTTGAAGCGGGAACGCGAAAACCGCCAGAGCATAGAGGAGATTTGGAAAGAAGTGCAGCAGTTGAACACGTTGAGAGAAGACGCTAAAACACCCCCACGGGATGAAGCTGCTGAGAATGATGAAGCAAAGAAAGAAGAAAGCGAGGCCGGCACAGAGCCGGAAGATAGTGAAAGCGAGGAGAAAAGAGAAGACGATGAAAGCTCAAGTGGTGACGAGCAGAAAGGAGAAAGAGAAAAGAAGAGAGATGATGAAAAGAAAGAAGAAGAAGAAGTTGAGAAGGAAGTTGAAGTATCGCCGGAGTTCAAGAAGACTGGAGATGACCTCAAAGAGGAGGCTGAGCAAGCAGCCATAATGGCGGGAAAAGTTGAAGAGCTTAAGCAGAAAGGAGAAGCAGCGAGCGAGAGAAGGAAAGCAGTGGTGGAAGCGGCCAGAGAAGTTACTGCGAAGGAAGATGAAGCTGGTGAAGAAAAGGAGAAGGCCGAGGAGACCACAAAGGCTGAGGAAGCAGAAAAAGAGCAAGCAACAAAGACCGAGGAGACCACAGAGGTTAAGTAAACAGAAAAAGAGCAAGCGACAGAGACCAAGGAGACCACAGAGGTTAAGGAAGCAGAAGTGACCACATCACTTGTGATTTTCACCTTATTTCCATTTTCACAACGATCCGTTGAGAAACGATTGAGCATAAACTTTCCGGGCGAGTATTTGGAAAACCTTTTGCAGACTTTTGAACTTTGATAACTTGCTTGTTGCATGTCAGTTGAACAACATGTCTCCCGCGCACGCTCCTTTCAAGCACATGAGTGCAAAATTTTTGTAGTGGGTGAGCCTTGGGGCCTGTAGTGCTGAGCTGTTCAGACTCCCGCGAGGGAAGTACCCGGTACGTGAAGCTGTCCAGTACCCTCGGGGAACGCAGTGGATCGGAAAGGTGCGAGCGGAGTGAGTTCTGGAACTCAGCCCAGTCCACGGCTTTGTAAAGGTTCTCTAGAGTCCCACTGTACTATGGACCATGTTGTAGCGCAGATGATGGCTGCCTCTCGCGATCCTTGGTCCAATCCTCGCTTGGCTCTCACCCACGCAGGGCGCTTTACGGCCGGTTCATTGCCTGAGGATCCCATTCAGAATTTTGAGACAAGGGCGTCTGAGGGTCGCGATTCCCGGCGTGCTAGATGTGCGTCACGCAGCCGCTCCGACTCTCATGGACGGCCTCGGATCAACCTTCGTACAAGGGTCATTGATGAGTTTAATGTGACGCACTCTCTGCTGCCAGTTGCTAATGCCTCTTCGAGATTGCCGTTGCCTTCAACTCAGACTTTGGAGCTCCGGACCGAGATCGAGACTTTACGTCGCACCAGTGCCGAACAAATTATGATTTTGACTCAACGAGTGGATGATCTCGAGCGCCAGGTTCGTGCATTACTTGCTGCATTGCACAGGATTCAACCTCACTCTTGATCTTCAGTGCCTGGCTGCTTGCTCAATTTTGATCTTCAGTGCCTGGCTGCTTGCAGCAGCCCTCCTCAGCACAGCGGCTGGCAAATGCGATGTGCACAGATCAACTGCAGGGACCGTGGAACGTCGGGCACTGAACGTGACGCCTCGAGGGCCGTTGCGTTCTTTGGTTCGACTCCAAAGTTTTGTCTGAGCTGCACCAGTGTTCGCCCGACTTGAGAAACATGTTTTGACAGTTTTGCCTGCGCTGCACACATGTTGTCTTGAGTTCATGCTGCCCTGGGACGCTCAACTTGCGGTCGTGCATCGCCTCGCATTTATCTGCCGCCGTGTGCGCACTCAGTCACAGAGCATGCATTTCAGGCGTTCTTGCATTTTTGTGATTTCAGGCCAATTGCAGGGCACTGACTGCACCAATGTGCTGAGTTGCACATCGCATGAGGCAAGGTCATGCCAGGACTCTCCCATAACGTGGCTTCGTTGCTTGCCATTCCGGCTGCGGTGGCCGCCGTGGGCGGTTACTTGTGCGCTGTAGATCGGCACGCTCTTGAATAGGTGTCGGCGACACAGAGTCCTCGGCCCGCTGGATAGCTGCGGCCGGGCCTGGGGTTGCCCTCTCGTGTTGCGCTCTTGCTGTGGGTGCGATACAGGAGCGCTTATGTCGCAGTTTGACTTCAAGACTCTGCTCGCTTCGGCTGTTGATTCATGCTCGGAAGCCACTCCTCGCGATAAGCTGCTTCCTTGGGAATCTGGGGTGTTCAAACAGATCTTTGATGGAGAAGACCCTTTGTCTTGGAAGAACAGGTTCGACTTGCCTGACCCACCAGGGTGGGATCAAGGAGAGATGGAAAGCTTGTTCCCGGCCGAGAAGAAGCGCAAGGTATTAGATGCTGATTTTCCACAGGGCATTTGCTTTATGGTCGTACGCAAGACTGAGGGGTTGAGCTGGGAGGATCAACGGCAACAAGACTCCGACAAGGCGATTGCGCGCTGGATTTTCATCATCGTGAAATGGTCTGAGACCCGCCCTGGCTTGTTGGTGTGCCAAAGCTTGTCTGAATGCACCGAGAAGGATCAAAGGATCAACGTGATCCAAGACTGGCTGCATCCTAAGGCGCCGAGCACTTTGTTGAAGAGAGCCAATTCGATTATGGGATATCACAAAGTTGTTGGCTGGGGCGACGGGACTTTTCCTTACCGTGAGCAAGATGTGTATCGCTACATGTCTGATGCTAAGGCAGGCGGAGCAAAACCGTCACAGCTGAAAGCTTTGAGAGAAGCTGTGATCTTTGTGCGGCATGTTTTCATGGTTCCGCAACTGGACAGGGTGATCGAGAGTCGTCGCTGTTTGGGGGCATCGCAGAGGGGGACTGTGAAACGTGGTAAGAAGAGAGCTCACCCGCTTTCCATCCTTGAATTGAAGAAGCTTCACCACTTGCTTGCGAATAAAGATGTTCCAGCCTGGGACCGCACCTTTGCAGGAGCCGTTCTTTGTTGCACTTACATGAGAGCGAGATGGGGGGACTTCCAGCACGCTGTCAGCTTTGATATAGAGACGAACGACAAAGGGGACATCGTTTTCTTGGTTTATACTGTTGAGGTGTACAAGACGGTGAACTCCAAGTATTTTTCTGGCGAGCCTGTTAGGTTCATCGCTCCTGGAGTTGGGATTCTCAGTGACAACTGGCTGCACTTGTGGAAGCAGGCTAGGGCAGAGGTGGGATTGTTCTCATTCCTGCCGCCGTTGCCGACGCCCAATGCAACTGGTGAGGCCATGGGATGCTCGGTTTCTTCTAGCGAAATCACGGCCTGGATCCAGAAGGTTTTGGGGCGAGACAATAGCTTGAATACCACGGGACACCTTATGAAGCGCACCTTCTTAACAATGGCTGCTAAGCGGGGCATTGAGCACTTGGATCGGCTGGCTATGGGTGGTCATGCCAACTCGGCAAAGATGGCTGATACTTACGGTGATGACGAGCTGGCGCGACCCTTGAGGCTGCTCCTGGCGCTTTTGGAAGAGATCCGCGAAGGCATCTTTGACCCCGATGCAGGACGCGCGGGGTACATTCTGGGTGCAGGCCTGCGTGAGCGCAGGTTGGAGGCGGATCGGATGGAAATTCGCGACCCCACAGCTGCAGGTGCCTTTGCAGATGCCGTGACACCGGAAGCCATGGAAGAAGACTTCCCTGGGGATCAGTCCGGCAATGGCAGGGACAGCCTTACAGAGCAAGACGCGGCCTCGTGGGAACTCCCGCTTCCTGAGCCGCTCAATGACGACGATTGGAAGGACTTGGGTATCTCTCCTCCAAGTCCACCGCATGGTGACGCCGATGAGGAACCGGATGCATCTAACATTGGTGACCCGCCGGTACACCCGTGGGACAACTTGCTCGAGGGACATCGCGGGGATGCTTCAGAGACGGACTCTTCCAGTTCAAGCTGTTCCGAGGATTCGTCTTCTTCGTCTTCGAGAGTTAGCCACGAACCTGAGCGCAAGGTGGGTGTACCGAAACCAGCCGCAGGCACATCTTTCCTGCAGCACCAGCGGACCAGGCTTTTGCACATGATTTCCGATCAAAATCGGAAGGTTTTGCTGTGCGGCCGAATGGTTGGTGACAACTACAAGCCACCAGTCAAAATTCGATTTGATTCTTCTGTCTGCCGGAACTGTAAGAAGTTCGCGGCTGATCTGTGAAACGTGCCTCTTCGAAAGACTCAAGTACACTTCGTTGCGCGTGCTTGCACTCTTTGGTGCTACTGTCATGGAAGCCTCTCCGCTTGAGTGTCTTTTGTGACTCAACAGCAGGGCATCATGTCGCTTGTGGATTCGGAGGCTGCCTTCACTCAGCGATGTCAGGAAGTTAATGCTGGGGCCATTCATACGGCGCTGCGTGACAATGGTGTCACGACCTTTGCTAGTTTGGCTTATGCATGTGGCACACCTCAGGACCGTCCTTCGCAGGCCGAGTTGGATGCATTCAGTACTAGGATCCTTGGTGCTGCACCGCGGGTGGGTGATGTCTCGCTCTTGAAGCGACTCATCTTCGAATCTTGTACCTTTGTGATCGCACAGTTACGCCAGAATGTTCAGGGCGATGCTTCAGAGACGCCCAAGAAACTGCCCCTGGCTGAAAAAGCGGCCCGAGCGCCGATCAGAAGCGCCGCTTGGCGGGGGTCCACATCGAGCGGGACTCCGTTCCGTCTTATGCCTTGGTGGATTTATGCTTCCATATGCTCGAGGTCGGGGTGACATGGATCAGTCCCGGCCGCTGTACGAGCCGCGAAAGTGAGATCCAACTCTCGACGCGTGATCAGACTAAGGTGTTCAAGCTGGAGGATAACAGTTTGAAAGTTGGGAATGAGGGCCCTGACGACGTGGCCTGCTTCGACTCTCCCGTACGACTACAGTGGTGTCTCCAAAGGAGAGGCCTCGCACTCGATCAAGCTCGACTGATGTCTTGGCAGCAACATGAGAGGTGGGTGCATTGCCTCCTCCACGCACTCACGCGTGAGTGCCCTTCGGGGTTCCACAAGCCAGACATGAACCGGATTGTGCAAGCGGACAGGGAGGCATGGCTCATTCTTGCATCAGAAGTACCGAGTCTTAAGGTCACGGCTGCCGGTGAGTTTCCGCTTGGCGTTGCACTTGAGGCTTTGAGAACCGACCCGAGAATTACCATGTATCTTATGCCCACTTGGGGCAGACAGCCTGATGTCAAGATGCCTTTGGATGTTCCGTCTCCACCCAAGGACGGTGAGGGCTTGTCTCGGTCAGCTAAGCGTCGGAGGCGCTTGAAGGCGACGGCTGCGGCACAGACTGCTACGCCGCCTGGAAAGCCTACTTCGACCCCCAAAGGGGCTCGAGCAATGCCTTCGGAGTTGAAGGGCACACACCAGAAGACTGAGGATGGAAAACTCATTTGCTGGGATCACAATTGTGGAGGCTGCAAGCTCAAGACCGAAGGCGATCCCCCAAAGTGCCAGCACGGGGTGCATGTGTGTGCCTTCTGCCGTCGAGTCGGCCATTCCTTCCGCAATTGCCGTGCTCGCACTTGGAAGGGTGCTGGCAAGGGTAAGACAAAGGAGTGACTCTCGGATGCAAAACCTGGCCAGGTTGAGGCGGGCCGGATTACTGGCTCTGACAGCGACGGGCTGGGCTACACTTTTTCTCCTGTGCATGTGACGGCGCAGGACCATTCTTGGCGCTGGCCGCCCAATGCCTACGCCTTGGCTTCGCAAGTTTTGCGCAGCTGTGCGAGCTTATTGCTCGCCTGCCTGCGGATTCTGTGGGGGCAAGTTCAGGCCAACCTGTTGCTGCTGCGGATCCCAAATCTTTTACTTCAGGGGCCTACGTGCACCACGACAAGAACGGGCTCCGATCCAATTGTTTTTCTTTTCCCTTTTCGACACAACTGCTTGCACACGCATATTGGCCGCCGAGTTTCCTGATGCTTGTTTTTCTTCGGTGGGTCTATTCTTTAACTTGAAGGCGCCGCTGCATTCAGACCGCAACAATGACCACCGACATGTCAATTTGCTGCTGCCCGCCTCGCATTTCTCCGACGGACAGGTTTGGGTGGAAGGTCGGGGGCAGCACCCCTGTCCGGAGCCTTCCGCTAAGCGCCTCGGCTACCTCTTGGATGTTGCTGCGGGCCCTCAGCGGCTGCCCTCCGAGCGTTTGCGCACTACATGTTCCTGGGCGGGAGACCGCCTGCTCGTGGTTGGTTTCTGTGTTCGTGATACACAACGACTCAGTGATCGTGACCGCCACTGGCTGCGGGACTCTGGTTTTCCACTGCCCGACCACAACCCTCCCGAGATACCTTTTACGGCTGACAGCCAGGTGACTTCAACGACTTCTTCGCCTTCCTTGTCTACTGCTACGACGTTGCCGCCAAATGCTCCTGCACCAGCCTCCACTGTCACTGCCAAGCGACGCCGAGTTGCTTATCGACCTGCAATGCCGGTGCATGCTGCTACAACGTCGTCCAGCTCTACGCTGCCGACCGCACCGTCGTGTGACACTGCCGAGGCTTCCAGTCCGGCGGTCTTCCCACGCAACTTGGCTCCACTGGTCATCGAGATCTTTGCGGGTACCGCCCGTCTTAGCACTGTTGCTGGGCGTATGGGTTTCCGTACTTTGGCCGTGGATCGATCCTCGCAACGGACCAACTTTTCAATACAGCGGCTCGACCTCACTGTGGACGAGGACTTACAAACGCTGCTCGACATCATCAACTTGGAGGCTCACAACATTGCTTGGATCCATTTGGCGCCGCCCTGCGGTACTGCCTCGGCTGCACGCTCCAGGCCTTTGCCTAAGGCTGAGCGCTATGGCTGCCCGGTGCCCAAACCGCTTCGAAGCGCTACAGAGCCGCAGGGTCTCTCCACATTGACTGACGTCGACAAAGAACGAGTCCTCTCGGCCAACAAGTTGTACCGTGCTGTCGGACGCGTCGTGGACCTTGCCCTGCAACTTGGTATTTTCGCTACTGTCGAGAACCCTCTCAACAGCTTGGCTTGGCTTTGTGATGGCCTTGATCACCTCTGTCGCCGAGAGGACAGCTACCACCTCATCTTCGACGCTTGTATGCACGGCGGGGATCGTGACAAAACAACCTTGTTCTGGTGCTCAGACCCACGCTTCCAGTCCTTGGCACTACGCTGTTCCCGTGATCACAAGCATGCATCCTGGAAGCCTCGTTTTTTGGGTGGACATTGGCAGTTTCCAACTGCCCAGGAGGCGGCATACCCTTGGCTTCTTTGTGAGCGTATGCTTTACATTCTGGCCGAGGCTTATCCTGCGTTGGCTTCTACTTCACAGACACCTCGGGCCTGCGAACAAGTCGCACTGCAGCGACAGCCGAAGTACGCTCGACCTCTGGTCTCCTGCTACCAAGCGCACGATTGTTGGGCTGTGCCGGTGCGTTCTGCTGACGCTGCGGCACCTCTCTTGAAGTGCTACCCCAAGGGCGCTCGTGTGACGCAACGCAAACTGGTGCCATGGGGAGCGGTGCGGGTTTGCGCTGTCTCAGCATATGCTGGCTTTGATCAACAGAAGACTGTCGAACTACTAGGTGAGGCGGCCAGGATCTCGCAACCTGATGCTTCGGACTTCTCTTTGATTGCAAGTGAGGCTGACAATGAAGTGTACAAGGTGGTTGGTATGGTGTGTGACGACAACCCTTGCGCTGCCCAGGCAGAAATCCTTACCATTGGCATTCCACGCGAACCCGAGGACTTCGTAAAGGCTGCAGTTCAAGCGGGGCACCCTCGCAATGCGATACTTGTCAATCGTCAAGGTCCAGCAAAAGAAATCGCTGCCAACGTGGTTATGCCAGCAGAGGAACGTCTGAGAAGGGCCGATGAGGCTCGTGATGCGTGGAAGGAGATTGCCAAGGAGTCTGCTATTACCAATGCCACACTCATGAAGCAAAAACCCACGTACCTGGCGAAAGCACTGGAGGGCAAAAACGTCGTGACTTGGAAGCGCATTCTCGAGCGAAATGGTTTTCCGGACAAGATGCTTTGGGCGGATTTGCGTGATGGTTTCCGCTTGACTGGATGGATGAGGGAGACTGGAATCTTCAAGCCACGCGTCAAAGCACCGGAATCCTCTCTTGAAAGCTTGCTGGCGCAATCGTCCTACCGTTCTCCCATGACTATGAGCCGAATAGCAAATACGAAACCCGATGACACGTCTCGGAAGGCGTGGGCTGAGACTCAAGAGGAGGAGCGTAAGGGCTGGATCTTCGAGGACACCAACCCAGACTTCGACAACATAGTGCTGGCTCACCGGTTCGGACTGGAGCAGAAAAACAAGGTGAGGGTCATTGACAATGGAAAGGACTGCGGCTTGAACATGGCATGTGGGCTGCCGGAGAAATTCACCCTACACGGGGTCGATGTTCTTGCAGCAGTCTTCCTTGAGCTGTTGAATATGCGACGCGACCGGATATTCAGATTGGTTGGGAAAACAATAGATCTTGTCTCAGCTTACAAATTCTACCCGGTGCACCCTCTTGATCGGCAACACTTGAGGATTGGCGTGTTTGACACTGACAGCAAGAAGCCGCGCATCTACGGAACAAACGTTCTGCCGTTCGGTGCTACGGGCAGTGTAGCTGGTTTCCTCAGGGTTTCGGCAGCCCTTTGGCGCACTGGAGTCAAGGACATGGGACTTGGATGGTGTGCATACTTCGACGATTTCCCATTGCTATCGTGTGATGGAATGGAGGAACAAATCGAAGAACTTGCTGACGAAGTGTTTGAGGCTCTCGGAGTTCAGTACGCAAAGGAGGGCAAGAAGGCAACAAAGTTTGAAGCGGTCTTTAAGGCCTTAGGCTTGGCCTTCGACTTGTCGGGATTTCAGAATGGGGTCATCTCTATTACACATACCAGCGAGAGAAGGAAGGAGCTGATTGACGTCCTCGAGAACATTTTGCAGACGGGAAGGCTGAGTCCCAAGGAGGCTGAGGTCCTCAGGGGCCGCATGCATTGGTATTCTTCTTACTTGTTTGGCAGGGCACCTTGCGAAGCTATGCACCAGCTATCTTTGAGGGCTCGGGGGATTGATGGTTCGTCGGAATTGGGCGCTGATCTGGACTGGGCGTTGAGGACCCTGCGGGAACACGTCCATGTATCGAGACCATTGGAATTGAGGCAGACTTCGGGAAGGGAGCTCTTCGTCTTCACGGATGGATCCTACGAACCGGGCGCTGAGGTGGTGGCCGGCATTGGGGGAATCATTTATGATGCCTCTGGTGTTCCACTCGCTTTCTTCAGCTCGGAGATCCCCAAGATGGACTTGGATGTACTGGAGGCTGAATCTGAGCACCCAATATATGAAGTCGAACTCTACGCAATTCTTGTGGCGTTCATGCTATGGGCAGATGTGTTGAAGGATACCTTCAGCACCTTTTACTTAGACAACGAAGCTGCACAATCTGCTTTAATTGCTGGCCGTTCTGGAACTCAGAATGGACGACGGCTTTTACAGCAAGCCTTATCTCTGGAACACGAAAACTTGGCCAGGCCGTGGTTTGGCAGAGTGCCTACTCACTCGAACCCCGCGGACGCACCTAGCCGACAGATTGTGGACCACTTGATCAGACAGGGTGCAAGGCAGGACAGCGTGGACCTGGGCAGTTTGCTGCTCAACACCTTTTCGGAGGCCGAAGTGCACAGCAATGGGGGAAGTTCGGGTGCACTTTGATCTGTGCTTGATGGAGTCGTGGCCCTTGGCCGAGCTTTGGAAGCTTGACCTTGGGACAGGCATCAGCACCTTTAACTTTCGATATCTCCCCACGGCACTTCGAGCTTATCCGATAAAAAGAAGGAGGGGTCCGAGTGAATGAGTTGCAGTCTCACATGTCTGATTGAATATTTCATATGAACACATATTGCGTGACATTTCCAAATAACGACGGATTTGTTTATGCGTTTGTGGACTTGGAAATTGTGACCACATCACTTGTGATTTTCACCTTATTTCCATTTTCACAACGATCGTTGTCTCGTTGAGAAACGATTGAGCATAAACTTTCCGGGCGAGTATTTGGAAAACCTTTTGCAGACTTTTGAACTTTGATAACTTGCTTGTTGCATGTCAGTTGAACAACATGTCTCCCGTGCACGCTCCTTTCAAGCACATGAGTGCAAAATTTTTGTCCCGCCCGCCCACCCTGGGGGAAGTTCGGGTGCACTTTGATCTGTGCTTGATGGAGTCGTGGCCCTTGGCCGAGCTTTGGAAGCTTGACCTTGGGACAGGCATAAATGCGTTTGTGGACTTGGAAATAAAAAGATCAAATGAACCGGTCCAAGGTGATTCGACGCTACTAGGTGTTCTGATGGACAAAAGCAAAGGTTGCGAAGTGAAAAGTGTTTTTCGAGCCATCCAACTACTTACGCCAGCAGCACATGTCTATCAAGGAGGAGCTAGCGCACCAGAGAGCTATGAAATCATTTCGGCTCAAGAACAAGCAAGAAGTTTTAGCCAGGGAGCTTTAACAGTTCAACGGAAGTTTACTGAAGGACAGATGGCAAGTGCCCTTGCCATCCAGATGGTCAGTGGCGTTGAGATACTGCTG